TGTCTTTTCACTGCGTTTGGTATACACTATGTATACCATACGCAACACTGCCCCCGTTGAGATTTTCTCAACCATAGTCTTCAAGTTCTTCATCAACTGGCAACACCACTAATTTCTGCACTGGCCTTTCTAATGCGCCATTGTGTGTTTTCACCTTTACCGAACGAACACAGCCATCATCGCTCTTCTTGGTCTGCAAAATGCGGCCCATTGGCCAATAGGTGGGTGCCAGATTTTCGTTTTTAATTAAAACCAATTGCCCTGGTCTTAAGTTTTTCTGCTCTTCTCTCCACTTCGGCCTTTCCATTAAAGTTGAGAGATATTCCTCGGACCATCTCTGCCAAAAAGAATTGGTTCGGGACTGCAGTTCCTTGAATAATCCTACTGCCATTTTAGGCGTCAAATCATGTCTTGATGGTAATGGCAATTTTATTGGTTCTCCGATGAGGAAATGGGATGGTGTCAGCGCTGTCAAATCATCGGGATCATCGGACATTGCACAAATCGGCCGGCTATTCATGCATGCTTCTATTTCAGCTAATAATGTGGATATTGCTTCATAACTGTATTTCTCAGTACCAATGATCCGCTTCATGTGATGTTTCATCTGTTTTACAGCCGCCTCCCACAGCCCGCCTTGGTGAGGTGCTGAAGGTGTAATGAATTTCCAATTTGTGCCATTCCAATTGACGTAGTCTTGAACTTCAGTAGAAGTCCATGATTCGACTGCTGTCTGCAGATCCTTGTCGGCCCGCACAAGGTTTGTTCCTCTGTCACTGTACATTAACTCGCTTGTGCCTCTTCTTGAAACGAAACGTTTGTATGCATTGATAAAAGCTTCTGCATTATAAGCCATTACCGGTTCAAGGTGTACAGCGCGTGTGACGAGACACACAAAAACGACCACATAGCCTTTTAAATCCATGTCTAAATGTGCTCTGCCTCTAGTGGCCATATACCTTCTGTCGGTCAGCCTTATATTAAAAGGTCCAGCTAAGTCAACACCACATTTCACAAATGGGCGTGCAGGTATCAACCTTTCCATCGGCAAATCAGCCATAATTTGCTGCGATGTTTCGCCTGCCTGTCGAACACATGTGACACATTTGCGTACAATTAACCTTAATTCAGCCCGCAATCGTGGGATCCAATAATGGTTTCGAATGTAAATCATCATTAGTTGTACACCGCCATGTAACGTATCTTCATGCGCCTGCTGTAAGATCATGCTGCATGCCTTTGAATTGGGTGGTACGATGACCGGATGTATTCGGCTATATTCAGCTTTAGCCTTTCCAATCCGACCACGTCCACGCAGCACTCCATTCTCATCCAGAAATGGGTGCAATGCAGCGATCTTGCTATTTGTCGGCAGCTTATCATCGCCCGATGCAATGCATCTTATTTCTTTTTGATAATGTTCAGCCTGCTCAAGCTTTATCCAAAAATTAGCAGCCTTTTCTAATTCATGAACGCGTATATATCGGCCAGCTATAACTTTACGTTGATCTGCTTTTTTACTTCTTTTGTTCGTGACTTTCACTCGCATATTTTGAATTAATCGCAGTACGTATCCAGTTACACGCACTAACTTCCGCCAGCTAGAAATCGAATTTAAGAGTGTATCATCTCCACCTCTAAACATAATGCGTGACACACAAAACTTATCACCCGACAATTCTCTGCACTCTGCATCGATTTGTTCTTTGTGTTGAGATGTGATTACCACTTTCTGCTCCGGCCAGCTTGATTCTGGTTGTCTCAACCAAAACGGTCCGTTCAGCCATAATGGTTTACTCAAAATGTCTTTCGGCGATGCACCTCTGCTAATAAGGTCTGCCGGGTTGTCATTTGAAGCGACGTGATGCCAGACATGCCTTTTTGTCTGCTCATGAATGTGATTCACTCTATTTGCGACGTATGTTTTCAGCTCGAGCGATGTTTTTTGCAGCCAGTATAACACAATCGCTGAGTCGGTATACATGAAATATCTCACGTCAGCGAATTCACAGATCTGCAGAACTCTTTTCATTAAATCGCTCAAAAGTACGACTGCCGAAAGTTCAAGCCGAGGTATGGTCATAGGCTTTAATGGTGCTACTCTAGACTTTGCACAAAATAGTCTGCAGTCAATTTCACCTGATGTGTCAATTGTCCGTACATATATGTTCGCACCATAACCCTTAATGCTGGCATCAGCAAACCCGTGTAATTGTACTATGCACTTGGGATGAATGCCTACCCAACGTGGTACACGAAAGGATTTCAGCATTTCTAATCCTTCGCAAAATGTCTTCCAGCGCCGCAAACAAGATTCAGGTAATGTTTTATCCCAATCTAAATCAGGATGCCGCCATAAATCCTGCATAATGATTTTGGCTACCATCACCACTGGTGATATGAACCCATTTGGATCATAAAGGCCAGCAATGTGTGACAACATTCGTCTTTTCGTTCGTGCTTCGGCTACACCTTCAGTGTTTACGACAATTGTCAATTCGTCAGTTTTAGTCAGCCAGCGTAAACCCAAAACTTTCGTTTCAGCATTTTCGTTTAAGTCAACGACTTCTGCGTTTTGCTCATTCGTCATAGCTCTTACCAACTTACTGTCATTTGAAGCCCAATGCCTTAAAACAAATCCGCCCTGCTTCAAAACATTGTCGATTTGTTGCGCTAATTGGATAGCTGACGAAATGTCTGCTGCCCCCAGTAGCCCGTCATCGATGTAAAAGTGTTTCTCGATGGCCTTCGAGGCTACTGGTTCGAATTCTGCCATGTCACGCGCGCACTGCACCATTGCTCTGACTGCATTATGCAATGATGAGGCTTCACCGTACGTGACTGTCTTCAGCCAATATTCGCGCAGATGTTCGTTTGGAGCCTCTCTCCAGAAAATACGCTGTAAATCCCATTGCGACTCGTCCACTAATACTTGCCTAAACATTTTGGCTACATCCGCTGTAAAACCTATTTTATTTAAACGAAAACACAATAGTTGATCTTGAAGGTCCAACTGCAATTTTGGACCAATCATTTGTAATTTATTGAACGAAATTCCATTTACATTTAAAACGGATGCATCATAAACTACACGAAATTTTTTTGTAACTGCGTGATGAGGTATATAGACAGTGTATCCTGCTTTTGGTGGTCGTGTCGCTGGCATCATATGACCGAGCTGCTCGTATTCTCTCATGAAGTCAACGTATTTTTGCCTCAATTCTGTGTCTCGCTGCAATCGGCGTTCGAGTTGATGGAATTTGCGGAGAGCAACATTTCTGGTATCACCAATTGGAAATGCATCTTGTTTCATTGGAATAAACACTACATACCTGCCGTCTGTATTTCTGTAATGCGATTGCATAAAAAATTGCTCCACTACTTCTTCTTCGGGTGTCAACAATTTATCCATTTCTGCGATATTTTCGGTTTTCCAGAATTGTTGCATTAGATCCAGCAATTGATCCTCTTCAGCTTCATATGAATTCTGCAAAGTGTTTGATAAAATATGTACATTAGAAACGTTTGTCTCTTTTATTCTGGCCCTGCCAAAAACTACATATCCAAGTGCCGTTTCTTGCAGCAATATGCCACCGTCATTGTGGCGATAAAAAACACTACCTTGAATACGCGCCCACACCTCAACACTCAGCAACATGTGCACTTCAGCTGGTATGCGGAAGCCAGGGTCAGCCAGCGATATGCCATCGGGCACCATTGTTGGTAATTCGACTAGAGGAATGAGATGATCAATAGGTTTTCTCATTACAAACAGTTCAACTTTCATCGACCAATTTGGGTAATACATTGATCTCAGATAAACAATTACCTTTTCAGTGATCTGTTCTTCGGCGCCTGTAACACCAATCACTTGTCCTCGGCAACGCACAGCAGGAATTTGTAGTCGTTTTACGCATTCGCGACCAATGACACATGCTTCGGCTCCAGTGTCCAACATAGCTCTGCATGGTTCGGTAATGTGTACGCCAGCCTGCAATCGTACACATGCCGTAGCTAACACAATTGTAGTTTCGATTTTGTTTTCGTTCAAGGATTGAGTATTGTCGAGCTCATCATATCTTGTTTCGCATACAAAAAACGATGAATTGTTGTTTTGATGCACAACAACCTGTACATCGCCTGTCCGCCTGCTTTTGCGTGCTAGTCATTTCTGCTTGGATTGTGCCTTTTTCTTCGTTGTTTTCTTCTTTGCACCGCCCCAAGCACCGTCTGGGCCTGCATTTGTCCATGAATCGTCTTCATCTGCTTGCTGTGTGGTCAAACTCAATGCGTGTGTGCGACGATCTGCTTCGCGTGTTTGACACAACAATGAATTGTGCAACGGTTGACCTGGGCAACGACCACACGGCAGCTTAACGCATGGTTGAATCGGGTGGTGGTCTGGTTTCAGACACATTTGGCACAGATGGTTTTGGCGAACGAACTCCTGCCGAGCACGCAAATCCAACTGAACGAATTCACCGCACTTGTACAATGGATGGTCTTGGTTACACATTGGGCATGGTGGCAAACCCGTCGGCGGTTTGACACGACCAGTGCTTGTCGATGGCTGTACTTGTGTTTGCATCGGTGACTGCTTTTGCTTTGTCGACTTTCGGCTCGACGCACTCGAATCACGGCTGCGATCACGCGATTCGGGGTTTGATTTATTTGCACGTCGTTCAGCATGTACCAAAATCCTTGCGCGTTTTTCTAAAAATGCACTTATTTCCTGCCAGCTTGGTAAACAAATGCCACGCGTAATCGCTGCTGCTCCATCATGGCCTTCCATATCTGCTGGAGGTTGATGTTGTTGTTGTTGTTGTGCGGCATCAGCTACGCCTACATTTTGTGCCGCTGCATTTGGTTGTTCATCGACTTCCATTGCTTCATTTTCAATCTGCTTGATTTCGGTTTCACGAAAAGATTCCCACGCTTCGTAAGTGGCTGGGTCCATCAAATCGACCACCATGAACACCGTAATCGGATCCCAGTTCGATGTATCAACATACGATGACAATTGGTTCACGCATTCGTGAACTGTGTCAATGATCCGGCGTAAACCGTTGAACGATGGATTTTCCATGCGTGGAATCGATAGCAAGCGACGCACAAGTGTCTGCACCACGAGATATTCGTCTTCATACACTTCCGCCAAACGATTCCATGCACGCATGTAATTTTGCTCAGTGAATGGCCAATTTCCCATCGCACGAGCTGCTGGACCAGTCACTGATGCACGTAAATAATGGAATTTGCGAATTGTCGGTACCTTCTTGTTTTCATGGATGGCCACTTTGAACCGGTCGCGGAAACTCTGCCATTGAAGGTAATCACCCTTAAATTCGCCCCATGTATTCGTTATGTTCGATAGTGCATCCGATGTAGTCACTTCGACCAACGTCTGCCGGAGGGCATCTGCAGCTGGTGCCGCTGGTGGTGGCATCATTGCTGCCGGCTGCAATGCAGCGATTCGGTCTGCCAGCGTTGCCCGAACCGCTCGATAAATGCCACTGATTTCACGATGAAAGCCTTGGTGCGCTGCCATTCGCTCAGCTTCATCCGTATCGGAAATTATTCTGACATGTTCCCGCTCATATCCTTCGTATTGATGCGTGAGCTGAAGAAGCAAATCCTGAACTTGCACGAGTGGCAAATTTTGGAATTCAGCTGCCTGCGTCTGTGTCTGAAAATCGCGAAGTGCGTCTGCATACATTTCACGCGCCGCTGTCGACACCATTGCGGGTTAGAGTCGATCTATTCACTGTTCTGCTCATACAAAGACCGTACTAATTTTTTCAGCGAAGAAAAAATCGCTTCTCACACACCCAGAAGGGGTCTTTTGTTTTTTTTCACTGTGTCTGCCAATTACACTCACTGAAAGCTGCCTTAAATCTGCTCTATATTATTTTTTTGCACGGCACAATGCCTGTTTTCGAAACCAACACTAAAATTTTCACTTCTGCCTAAAATTTTCTTTCTGCAATTTACGAAAATTATCACTTTTTTTGTCGTCGAAAATATCCAAATCGCTTTGTGGCGAACACTTATTATTGGTTTTTTTTTTTTCAATAAGGCTGCTCACTGAACACACTATGTGAAAAAACTCTGAACACTTTCCAAACTATGAGACTGTTCTAGTCGAGTGCTCAAACGGTAATGTATTGCGACACAAAATGTCAGCGGCACATTTCGTCAATATCGATTTGCATCGTCGTCCGATATCGCCTGGACACACGCATACAAACACACACAGATCGCCTGCCTGCACGATCTGTGAAGGAGCATAAGAGAGGAGAAGAGAGAGAGATATGCACGGAGAAAGCAAATAGCGCTACACCCAACAATGTGACCAGCATCGTCAAGTGTTTGCACGTGTTGCTGTTTCACACTCTCTTCGTTCGGCTCGCACAGCACTCGTTCCCACAGTCGTCCGTGTATAAACATGCAATGTTTTGCCTGTTCAAACAAACAACCGTTGTTCTTGATTCTGGGAACGTGGCAAGAAAAATAAACGCACACACAACGAACTGCCTTGTTTCGTGTGGTCGAATTTCATCATCATGATGAAATATTGTCACCAGCGTTGTGAAATTCTGATCGCAAACCATCGGCCGTTTGCCTATCAATGTTATGAAATTCGAAACATAAACCATCGGCTGTTTATGCATCGTCGTTTCAATCTTATCGCTTCGTCAATATTTCATCGAAATTATTGCGTCGCAGATTTTTTTTTTAAAAACCGACAATTTCAGCAATATCTCAACATGTTTTATTGCGTTGTCGATATTTCATCGAATTTATTTCGTCATCGATTTCTACGGCAAATTGACGCTGCACAATAAAACTGAGTATCCAATTTCAACAGATGAAAAAATTGAATTTCTTTCTGCCTGCCCTCCATTCCACTTCAATCACAGTAGACTGTATAAGAGACACTTTTCTAAGAAAAATATCTCGGCCACATGAACGACTCACAGTCGAAGGACTGTTTCGATCGAACTTACCGTGAAGAGGAGTGAAAGAAGAAGAATGA